AATGTGTTGGCAGCACTCACTCAAGCTGATCTCCTGTATTTGAGACTGGTTCTCTCTGCTTTCTGGAGGCACTTTGTAACCCCTCTGCCTCAGTCTTTCCATCTGCGGCAGGGGAAACCAGCAAGAGTTTTTGGCTGTTGAATAACTATCTGTGAGTCACTCTGATGAAGACACAAGGGGCAGGACAGAAGAGAGGAAGAAAAGGCAAAAAAACAACAGGCGACACTCATGCCAGTACAGACGTAGGTCACATCAAGCAAGAACAACAGTGACGTTGCTCTGAGTACCCGTTTCCTATTTCAAGGAGAATCAGGGTGATGAGAATGATGAGCAGCTGCTGGATGGGCAAGAGACCGTAGCACTAAAGTTGGCAAATGGGCAGCTTGGAAGCTGCTGAATTTAGTACTGTTAATGAAGATCCCCCTGAGCAGACTATTCTCCAAGTGATGCTGGGGACCGGTGCAAGGAAGGAAGAGAGCCAACATCTATTTCTGCCTGGCAAAAGCAAACAAGAAAACACACGCCCCGAGATCGCTGCAATTCGCACAGTAATAGCAAAGGACAAAACTTGCATAGCTGCCATAAATTATAAAAGCCTCCCTCAGTCTTGGTTAATTCTCTTGTAAAAAGGGAGGGAAAAATCTGGAGCAGCTCAGCATGAAAACAGTTGTGGGAGGGATAACAAAGAGACAGCACCGAGGTATCTAGTTGCTAGCCCTGATATCATTAAGTAAGTGCACTAGAAGTGTCGAGGTAAATGCATAGCAGTGAATCACAGTCAGGCATGATTAACCTTGGATAGTTTGAACTGGAAAACATTTACAAACACAAAGGTACTGAAGAACATCACAACAGACAGCACATCGAAAGCCATCCCAACAGCGGGAGTCTTGCCGAGTGCTTTGTGTATTTGTGCCATTTTTGAATTACTGTCATGTTCTGTCATGTTTTGCACACCGGAGGATGGAAGATTCCAGATCCCCAGCCTGGGGAGGAGTATCCATGGCACTGCAAGGTCCTCTGAAACATCTGCACTGGTTGGAATCACTTTTGCTTGCACAGAAGTTTTATAAAATTAAAAGTTACAGTTGCAGCTTTCCAAGGTTTACTGCAAGTATCCGTTTTTTACCAAAGAAAGATTAAAATCTTGTACCTGAAAATATTAAAGAAGAGCACTCTTTCTTCATCCCTCTGCTACTCCTTAATGCAGACCTTCAGACTACAACTGGTAAAACCAGGGGCAGAAAGCATTTTCATAAAAATAAGGTGTTTTTAACAAAATCTGTGAAAGTTTTCTGACCATTGAAAATTGAACCTTTTATCACAAAATCAAAAGAAAAAAACATTTCTGGATATTTCTGAACAGTCCTAAAAGTTTAGAAGTTCTCAGTGAAGCTGTAACCAGATGACCAGTAGAGAGCTATATATATTAAGAGCACAACAACAAAAAACCCCTTCAAATCCAGAATTCTCGTGGCTGTAAAAGCATTCAATTACAAGGAACATGAATCAGCTGGGGAAGACTCCAGACAGCTTAACACCTTTGTATTGTTTGCAGCTTTTATTGCAATTCTTCAGTGCCAGCTCAGGCGATTACTGTGCATGCTGAGGTGGTGAAGGCCACAGGAATATCATGCAAAAGGATCCAGCTCTGCTCAGACTTCCTCCCTGCTTTCACATCATTCTCATTCTCCTACACCCATCTCAGTTATCCCTAGCATTGTAATAACTGCCCTTATTTATCTGCCTTATTCGGATGTTGCATCAATTAATGGGTACCATCTAATGCATACCAGTTTCTTAATGTTTAATATAATTATCAGTGGAGAGCTATGTCATACTGAGTCTATTTAGGGAGCTAATGGATACAGGAAAAAACCCTATGCATAACGCTATTCAGAATGATGCATTTATGGTACCCAGGCCCCTCCAAACAGACCACCACGCGTCCTGCACTCTAGGTTTCTCTGCTCTCGGAGGTCACAGGGCAGTATCTATTTTTGAGGACCTGGAGCCCAGTAGACAAGGCAGGACGAATGGCTTGAGTGGAGAATTCATGTAAACGCTCGGTTCATAAGCACCTCACTGCCTGATTCAGGAGGGTAATCAACCTGTCCTTTGAAGCTGCATAAATAATGGTTGGATGGAAGTAGTAAATCTGCACCAAGGATGAATTAACTGCCATTGAGTCATATAAGCTTGGCTTGAGTGTGTTGCTTGTAACATGCTTGAGGAAAATAAAAAAGACATTTGCAAGAAAGAAACATTAATTTGTTCCTCCCCATCTTTTCTGTTATTTTTATCGAAGTCAACACGACTTGCTTTGTAGGTTTTTTTGTTGCTGTTTGTTCCATTTTCACAAGGAAACGCTGATTCACAGTGAAACGAATCCACAGTTTCTCCTGGTCAGGCCTGAACGTGCCACCTTTCCGACATCAATGTTGCTCCTTTTTAGCACCCCTGCCAGGAGATGCCAACCAGACCCCTTCGACACTCTCAGGGGAGCAAGACCTCGCAAGAGGGTGCAGACTTTTTCACCCATGGGGATCCCGGCAGTGCTCGTGCCCTCTCGCACACCTCTTGCCTTGCACACCCCCGCAGCTCCCAGCTGCAGGCCTGGGCACTGCTGGGGCTCCCGTCCAGCTGCGCAATGGCATGGTCTTCTCCAAGAGAAGAGTACGTCCATTGCTGTAGATGGGCCCAGGCATGTGCACTCATGCATCCACGTGTACGCTTGCACTGCGGGTCCTTCTCATCGTGCATCTTGGGCACAGGGGCGAGCTGCTACATCCCCAAAGGAATAGAGAAAATCTGTATTCATGGGTGCCTGAGAACCAGGGATAAAAGTCTGTCCTAGAAGGCAGAAAAGAAACCTGGGGAAGGCCAACAGAAGGTAGCAGAAAGAGAACTGGGACACCAGTGTGCACCTACACATCAACATGAGTTAATTTACTTCACTGTAACACTCAGGTATCCAGCTCTCTATTCAGTAATACATACCTTTTAGTTTACTGATAGCTTTTGTTCATATCACTCTCCCTTCTTTCTCATTTCCAGTGTTTGACCTCTGGTTTTCTCTTCCACTGCTCTCAGTTTTGTATCTCTTTCTGAAAATTTGGCATTTGTGGTTCCTTTTCCTCCTTCTTAGCTGTATCCCTCTCATTTTCTTCCTCCTCTTTTGGCACAGCACTTGCTGGTTCCCTTCCTCTCCTCTCCTCCTTTCTCTCCTGCCTCCTTTTCCACACAAACAATTTCTCTAACTAGGGGGGCCTCTGCTTCTTCAACAAAGTCATTTATCAGTGGTAACCAGTCACTTCTATTTCTAAAAATTGCTCTGGGAACCAGTATCTGCTGTGTGGTAGCCTTAGCATATAGTAACAATTTAAAGATAAGCATTATAAATATACTACATCCAGTAGGCAGCACAGTTTCAGAAGGTTGTAGTAAGATCTTTTGTTAGGCAAGGAACTTTTCACACCTAATCAGATACTGAAGTCTGCTGTATCTAATACAGCACACTATATGATACAGTATGCAGTCTCAAACCAAAACCATAAGCATATTGGGGCGTATCTCTGAACCCGTATTTTGGGTTCAGAGATACTCCTGTTGTGAGTTCAGAGATCTTACAGGATTTGCATCTGATGAAGAAGGAGAAAGGAAAGAACATTCCTCATGAATAAAATACCACCCAACTAGAAAAAACAGCCAATGTTTTACATATTGCTAAATATCAGCAAAAATAAATGTGTTCATTTCTCCAAAATACCTCCAGATGGCATTAAAACCCTTCTTCTTTCAGTCTTTATTGCAATATTATTTTTAAAAATGGTAATTATTGGAATCATTCTATTAACCATTCCCAGCAATCATACTATCAGAAGGCATAAGGCTGTTAATGCTTAGTTCATTTAATAAGTTTGGCTAAATATGCCAACATACTGTAATTACATTCCACAACACAATCTGCAGGACAAACCATTTCTTACACCATGTCAAATCTTTTTCTAGATTCATTTCCAGAAGATTTTTAATGCGTATTTGCAGCAGAAATCTAAACATCCCACAATAAATCACCATTATTGCACCTCCTTCTGTGACTACTTTTGGTCATGTAACAAATGGTGACACCTTGAGAGATTTACATGATATAATGCTCTGAATTTAAATAACAGGAATCAGAAAACATAAATTATGGGCAAGATGCACTCTAAAATTCACATGACTGACTGTTACACGAACTTCCTTCCCTCAAATAGGATTAAAAAGGTGAATGGTTTTGCAGAAATTCATAATGCTCCTGCCTGGTAGTTATTAAAGGAATTCACTTATCTACCTCTGTCTGGGAGACTGATGCTATTTTTTTTTTTTTTTTAACTTGCAGCCCATCTGTTTCATAGACTGATTTATGTTGGCAAAACAATTCAGTCCTTTGTATACTAGAGTTAAAAAAGGTAAAAGCTTCTATTGTTGCACTAGAGTGAAGGTGAACACTGATCTATTACAAGTGACTGTTCCTATCTATTTCTCGACTTCTTTTGTTAATTCAAAAACATCAACAAAATCGTGAGAGACCAGAGATAGCTGTAATTGGATTTCAAGTAATTCAGAGGTGAAGCTGTAGACTGCAGTGTTTTAAAATTACATCAGTACATCAAAGGCATATGTGACATGATGTTTTTTAGCAAGTGTGACAAACTCCGGCAGCATTAAGGTAATGTTGAAGTCAGGTTGTAAAGGCCAGTCTCACACACCCACAGCAACCATCTCATATCTATTCAGCATGATACGGAGCCATTTGCCTTGCAAAGATCTCTGACTTACTGGCACACAAAAGTTCTAGGAATAATTAATGTTTAGTCATTATCTAAAAAGCCCTTTTAAGAAAAGCATCAGTGAAAGAGCTTTATCTTAATGAAAACAAACAAATTCTATTTTGCCCAACAAATCTGATAAAAACACAGCTGCCTTCTCCAATCTTAAACGCGAACGTGACTTACGATGTCTGGGTTGCGCTTTTCTCTGGACTCTTTGGCTCTACATCACTTTTCCCTTTAAAAGAGAAGAAGAAAATGACATCAGAAATGGGTCAATATGGAAACTGATCAGATGTGACAAGTCAATGCTTTATTCATTGCTGACAGTGACCACTCTTGTCCCATGTGCAGACCGCTGCCGAGGCAGTCACAGGGCTGCAGGGGCGCTGCTGGAGCATTTGCAAGCAGGGAGTCAACCCTGACTTGACTTTTCTTGTCACTGCTGCATCTACTCTGGAAATGTCAGGCAAGGAAACTCCACAAGAGAGGCTGCTTAGAGGACAACCAGGGATAGCAGACCTTGAGGCAACGGAAAGGATTTCTTTAGGGCCCTCCCTACAGCTCTGCTATGGAGAGTCTACCCCATCCAACATGCACATGCTCCAAAATCCTGCTCCAGGAACAGTCATTATTTCATATAAAGCAAAACAGTACCAGCAGGAGCTAGTCAGGCAGTGATTAGGACACAATTCTGCCAATGGATGTTTTGATTCACATTCATATAGACAGATTAAGGATCCGATCTTCAGCTCCTGCAGGTCAGAGCTGGGGAAGCCCTCTTTGTAATGTTGTGTATTTTGGCTTAAGCACTCAACCCCAGGAGAAGTCAGGTATTCAAATGCTTGAGAAGTATCAGATGCCCAAGGGATGCCCCTTCACATTTCCTTATGACTCACACGGGTCCTGGCATAGTATGTTGGCTTGTGATGATCCCCTTCTTGGGTCCAAAATCACATATCTGCCCAACACAACTTAGTTACACAGCACAGACACCTGGAAGCAGGCTGCTAGCTGATGGGATGGTACTGCTTCTGCTAAGTCAGGCCAAGTCTCCCCCCTTTCCCCACCCCCCCCCAAAAAAATAAGGCTGATGTTGTTTGCTTTAATAATTGCTCTCTGAGTAACCCGAGAATGCTGCACATCAGTGTAAGATTTTTGTTTATCTCTACCATGGATGTACAGGGTATGCCGCTCGAATCACCTTGAACTCGAATTCTGGACCTAGCGACTGTGCTGTGCAGCTGCTGCTCCACTTGTGCGTCGCTGGATGCTAGTAGCTGTCTACACATGAGTTTATGTTGCCTAGCAGACAAGGAGGTGCAGAGGTTGAGTGTGACTGGCTTACTGATGGATGAGTTTTTCTCCATTACCTTTTAATGAGGTTCGTTAAACCAAAATCCACCTGTGCCTTCTGAAAAAAAATGTGAGAAGTGCTTATTTTGGTCAGGCTGTTCAGTGTTGTCTGATTTTCTACTCATTGACTTGAGCTGAGTGGGTTTTGGATCAGGCCCCAATCTATTCCATGCACGTAAGCATTACATATCACCCATTTGCTGCTGACAGAAGTCCTCACCCTCAGCTTCCATACAGCACTGGGGTGCCAGCAATGGCTGTAAGAGGCACCTCTGGAAAACTTGCTGTTGCCTTCAGAAGAGGCATGGTTTTGCTACCAATGTTCTTCAACTGCTGTATAGAAGCAAGCTGAAGGTAGTGAACTTCTGGAAGCAGGTACCTTGTGGAGGAGGTTCTGGGTATTACAGACACCTTGCCATGGTGCTTTTAGATCTCATCCTCCTGTCTGGAAGGGTTTGTGTCTACCCAGTTTTGGTGCCTAAACTTTAATGAATAGGATGGGGAAAGCTCTGGATGACTTCAAAAACACTGCTGCCTCTCTGTGGACCTCTAGGGAAGCTAAGCATTTACAAAGGCATCTAAAATTTAGGCACAAGCTGGGCATCCACACAGGATGGAATACATCCACTCCATAATCTCCAGGTCACTTAACACTTTTAGCAGAGACCTCAGAAACTATATCCAGATGATGAACTTGCTGGCTAGAAAGCTGTTGCTACAGTATACGTTTGTCAGCCTTAGCGTGCCTGGAGCTCTGGAGCTCATCTGCATTATGGTAATTTGGAACAAGAAACCAACAGTAACAGTTGGCATACATTCAAAGATTTTCTATTTGTAACTTAGGCTTTTTATAAGTGATGAATTATTGCCATGAACACCGGTTTGTTTGAGTGTGAGAGGGAATATGGATTCCTGAGTGCTTTGCCAGCAGAGTTCACATCAGTTCTACTTTGAGCAATGTATGTTAATGCAGCAACAAGGGAAACAGCGTAAGTACTGTGCGGAGAGAGAAAAGGGAATCTCTGTGATTCAGCCAAACTGGATATTAATGAATTACCCTACAGTAAGCATTTGCAGCTGCTTTTATGCTAATCGTCACTTAACATACTTCTATGCGGAGGGGACAGGACGAAGCCTGTACGGATGGTAGAAACGCATCGGTCCAGCCTATCAGAGTAGCAAATCTGGCCATTAATGCTTTATCAGTTCTTACCAACTTTGTTCTCACTTGACTGAATCACAGAAATTTAAAAAATGTGTGTAGACTAAGCATGGTTGAATGTCACAGATACAGTACAGATAAGATTTTTGGATAAGCCTACGTAAAAGGGAATTAACTGTCAGAACAACTTGGTTTTTTCGCACTCACTCTTGGCCAGACTAAGATTTGTTTTCCCTTTTCCATGTCACCCGCCAAACGCATGCAGGTATCATTGTGGGAGGCTGGCATCTGCCAAATTGCTAAATCCTCTCTAGCTCTGGCTTCTTCCTATGGGCAAATTTGTTCTTTGTTCTTTGTTTTTCTTAGTCTTTTTGGAATTGAGAAATAAAATGTTACCCACGTCGCTATGGGACTGCTGTCAGCACGCTTTATTTCAGGTGCTAAGCGCTGTGTATTTCTCCTGAAATGGGTGTGGACATGTGTGAGTGTGTCTGTGTTGTCTGTGTGTTCGTGTGTGTATGCATACATACGCCTCCAGAAACACACGGTGAAAACGCACCATCACTCCTTACATCCTTAGTCACAGAGCTGGGAGATCTTCGTTGGTTCCTACCTCAGCTCACACACCTCCCTTCCTAACCTTTTTAGATACAGAGGAGATGTGTCCAGATTTCTCTCATTTCAAAAAAAAATTTCAAACGAACTTCTCTAGGATTTCCATGTTGCATAGTGGGTGGCCAGAGAAGTTCTCTCCTCTGAGCTGGCATTTGAGTGAATCACTCAACCTAACCAGGCCAAGTTTCCCTTTCTGGGTAACAGGGATAAATAATGTTTATTGTGACAGAGCAGTACAGCTTGAGCCGTTCTGGGTTTTTAAATGCTTTGATTTCTTTGTGGGGGAAGGATGAGAGAAATGCAAATGCTATCCATGAGAAAGACAACGTCTGCAGTCGGAGTAAAACCACTGCAAATGACAGGCTCAAGTGCCACTCCAAGGAAGACACGGTGCAATGGGAAATAACACCTAATTGGGACTCTGAAGATGTGCATTTGGATAACACAGCACATAGACCATTAGATTTCTTTCCCACATAGACTCATTTGCTAGAATTTCCTCAAATCCAAATCCCTTTTCTTCCAATTTTCCTTTGAGTTTGATGTACAGGACTGGTAAGGTCTAAGTCTCATTCTAACTGTGTCTTATTCGATGTCTTATTCCAGCACCTTGACAGGAATCATCATGAATACAGGTCTCAGAGGAAGTCATTCCCCCTGCAACATTAGGAAAAGTGTCTGGGTATCTGACAGCAACCCTAACTTTTGCCACAAATGAAGAAAATGTTTTGCATACTTTCAGCTGTTCTTTGGTTTGGTTGCCATCAGCCAGGGAGTACCAAGTGCAGCACCAGCCCAGCTGCAAATATATGCTGATGCTGCTGAGCAGGATGAACGAGGAGATAAGAAGAAGCTGGAGATACTGTGGTGTGGGAGAGCAGATGGGGGAACTGGAAGTACAGTGAGGTCGGAGACCAATGGAGTAAGCAGCAGAAGAAAGCCGTAAGGAGGTAGGACCAATTTCCTAATCCACAGGAAAGTGCGTTTCCCTAGATCTGCAGAACAACCTATTTTATTAAAGTGTTGAAAGAAGGAAATACTCAAAATGAAACTATGACCAAAGCTGGCCAAGCACTGTGGCCTTTGATGTCACCGCGAAGACCTCAGCTCAGCTGGTGTGTTTGTCATGCTCGTGACTCTGCGCGTGTTTGCATAGCCCTCTCTATTATGGTCCTTTTGTGCTTCCTTTTCTCATTACTGTATTCATTATTTTCCGCCAGAACCTCATCCCCTTTGCCTTTTATTATTTCCTGAGTGCTGGTACCCTCAGCAATATCAAACCGATGCCATCAATTAAGTGACACCACTGCATGTTTCTTCACGACATTGTCTTCCACACACCGACCTTTCCCCAGCAAAGAGCCACACGGTTTTAATAGCCTACATCTCCCAGCCTTGTCTCTCTGGACGTCTTCTCTCTCACGCAGCAGGTGACCAGCCACTTTCAAAGCCCTACCTAGCAGCTCAGGGCATTTTTCATCTTCGGTCACAGCCCTGTAATCTGCAAACAGAGCTTTGTGCTGGCTGACAGGTCAGGAAGCTAGCAAAACAGTTCTTTTGGGTGAGATGATTTTATGTTGAGAGCAGGATAGCATCATGTATTTTTAATATGCAAGACAACATTAACAACAGTCAGAGGTGTCAGGGGAGAGGATTAATATTTTGTTTTGCAGAACAATTCGATCTTTCCTTTCAACACAGCTGCTAAGTTTTTTACCATAACTAAACGTAATTGAAGTGCTGCTGATCTGCACCATGACTTGTAATCTGGGAGTCCACTGAAAAGCCCCAACCAGGAGCCACACAAGCACACATCGCTTCCCTGCCCACACTGCTGTAGCCAAAAAGACCCATGGCCATATGGTCTTTGAGACACTGTCTGTTATTAGTTTGGCAGGATTTATGTGGCGTATTACTGTGCAATAGCCACAAAACGTACCATTGCCTATGAAAGATAAATAATCACTAGTCTTCCTGCAGAATTTTCTGGCAGTCTGGATCTGGCCACGCAACTAGGTCAGCTCTTCTCTGGCTTTCTAGAAATGCCACTCTTTTGCACTTTCAGTCTTTTTCATCTCCATAATAAAATGGTCATAGCAAAATGAATCCTTTTGGTCCTTCCCAGTCCACCAAAAGAGCTGACATTTTGATGGTCACTCTTCAGTTCAGTTCTCCACATTTGGCCACAGCTGAGTGCTGCTTGCTGAGGCTCCGCACTGCCCCAGTCTGCTGCTGGTGCCTTAATCAGTCACTCATTTTCCGTAGTCATTGTCATCTCCTCCACCCAACGCAGCCAGAAAATGAGTTGGTACTTACTTGTATTGCTGTGTCCTGTAGATCCCTGTTGTGATTCCTACAGTAATAACAGAAAAAGGTACAGTGTGTTATTTTTACGGCAATTTTTAGCTGCAATTGCTTGAACATTACCTTAACAATACAAACAGCATTGTTAATTGTTCATTCAGTTTCAAAGCAATTTTCAATTACAAGAACAAATCCAGTATTTCTTTGAAAATCCATTAATTCTAAGGTTTGTAAATTTATTTCGCAACAGCCCTTTCATGGTGCAATTCCTTGTATAGCTATTACGACTCTCCTGCTCACTATTCATTTATTGATCAGTCCAAACTCGTCTATTATCTTCTACAAGTTTAGATGAGAAGACAGAGGGAAGACCAATATTGTTTCATGGACCATTGGATTCCTGAAGTAGTAGCACAGCTGGTCTTTCCTTTTCACATGTTGATATTGACAGCACTGGAGAACGGAAATACGGACTTGATTTCTGGGTCCCCGAGATTACAAGGTCAACCTTGTGTCACAACTGCAATATCTATGAACATGGTGCAATAAACCAGACCGTTTTTTCCTCACATGCAAATGTTCACATATTTTACTCACAGAATTTGTTTGTATTGACAAAAATATAAAAGAAACCTATATGTAGAAGGGAAACACAAATCTAAATGATAACAAAATATTTAAATTAAGGAAAAAAACCCATTTTGCTACGGATGCCAGCAAGGAAGGTATGCTGTATGTAAGTCTGCGTCTGAATAACCCAGACACGCACAGAAATACCACCTCATATACATGCTGCAGTCACAACTGCAGTAAAGACTGCTTGGGGAGGCCAAGCACCCACAGCAACACATACAGGCATTTTCGGTGAGGAATCAGGCACCAGATCAGGTCCCTGTCCACACAGGCTGAGCAATGAGCCAAATGCACAGCTCATCAAGAAAGGAATTGCAAGTCCCCAGAGAGCTCTAGGATGCTCCAGCTTGGCCAAGCTGAGATTTTGCTGCTGAGTCACTCCGAAACATGCCTCAGAGGCTCAGGGACCCAAGAGTTTCTTGGCATCTCTAAATGGTGGTTGCCTGGACCTCAGGCACTGGGGTCTCCAGGGTTTGGCTAGTCAGATCCTCTCAATCTGCACCATTTGCTCTAGAGCCAAGGGTCTCCAGACTGCATGGTTTTGATCTGTAATTTTTATGCTATAATACACATCTGCAATTCACCGCCATCCTACGCAGCTGAAATACGAGACATCACATTTTTGGGCAAGCCCTAAGAGTTTCTACCTTCAACTGCAGTATGAAAAGATAGGTACCGTGTTTCACATGCTGACAATAATTTCTCAATATTTGAAATTGTCTACTTTTGACAAATTGCCTCAGCTTTCTGTGAATGCTTCTGATGAAGGGATATGAAAACCTGTTTTTTTCTGGTGACTGAATATAATCTTAAGAAGTCAGGATCAGCTCGCAGTGGTGATGTGGTGACATGCACACTTCAATTTAAATGCTATTCTAGTATCCAATAAAAGTAGGCTATTAGAGTATGTTCAGTTTCCAGAATAATAAATTTATGTATCTAGAGAAGTTTGGGGGTATACAATCTTTTTGATGGAAATACTGTTGGGTTTGCAAAAGTATTTGAAACTGCTAAACAAGGATCTCGCTCACTCTTTTACATTTTCATCAACCTCAGGAAGAATGCACCCTCCGTTTAACTGCCTAGCACAGTATCTTACCTCTGCCATTGGTTCTGCACAGTCCCAAATCTGACATCAGCAAAACATATGAGCTATAACATTTTCACTTTTCAACTGATTCTTTAAAATAAGTGTCTTGATTCTCAATTAATCATTCTTAATAATAAAGGCTAATATAAAAATCTCATAGCAAAATAGAGAATGCTGCCACTGAGGTAGGAAAAACGTACAATTTTATGCAACTTAAAAACCAAAGATGAAGTCTCTACCTCTCGAGATTATTTTCTAGTACATTTGCTCCAGCTTGTTAAAATCATCAAGAAAGGAAAAAGTAAATGAATTGAGCACGTGAAGAATAACATCACTATGATAACTTAGCTTCTGCTGAGAATAATCACCCAATAGCTTTGTGACAAGGCACCAGTTCTCCTGGAGTGGATAAATTGATTCTCAAATAACAAAATGATGGCTGATCCCATAATATCACATACACTTAACTAGAAATCAAACACCTGCTCAAACTTTCAAGACATGAAATCACAGTATAAATGAAGAAAGAGAGCAAAGCAGGCAGCAGAATTAACAGCATTTTTTCCTGCACAAGAGTAGAGAATTAATGCCTGAACATGAAAGCTCATTCACACAAGCATCAAGTGAGCTCTTATTTACCAAATCTAATTATTCATTTAAAGTTTATTTATTAAGATGTTTTTAATAAAATTACAATCAAACAAAGCCTGATCATTTGTACGTAACAAAGTGTGACAGAGATAGGAGAAAGGAAAGCACACACAGCCTGTCACATCACACACTGATTCAATTATCCTCAAGCTTTGAAAAACAAGAAATACTGTTCTTGCCCCTTCCTAGTAAATTCAAGACTACAAATTAACTCCGCAGAGAAAGAAAATTAAAAGTTAAGGATGAAATGTAACTTTATGCCCTCTACTGCATAAAGGACAGTTCCCTAAATATGCTCTCTCAGCAGGGCTGTGCTGGGACACCTACTGGGCACTGCCGCACACGTCATACCTGACCTGGACTTCTCTTCCATTCTTGTGCACTAATGTAGACCTCCTATGTTAACAAGGTCTGATTTCATATACAGGTACAGCATATGCACATACATCTCCCCATCCCCCCAGCATATTTACATAGATGGACACATCCACATGCACAGTTCCAAATATGCAATTCTGTTATATTTATGATACATAAACCTCAGCTATATAGTTTTTACTAGTAGACTGATTTCTAAACCAGTCTAGCTATAGTTGCTGTGGCCTTTGCAACTTTAATAGCCGAATTCATAAATTTCAAGTTTCAAGCTGTCAGATCATTAATTACTTGAGTTGCAGGTTAAAAGCAGCACGGCAAGCATGGGAACTAATGATGCTGACACCGAGTTTTTATAGACAGAAAAGTAAGGATGATTCGCATCCTTGCAACAGGGCAGGAGTCCTACAAGCTTCTCTTTTTCTCATTTCCAAAATGATGAGTATCTTTACACTTGGGAACTGTCTTCTGTTAAAAAGGATTGCAGCCTACTTGCTTCTCTGGCTGGAAGAGTCATTGCAAATGAACTGAACTGATCTCTCAACACTGCCATAAAGACTGAAAATGAATTCACAGTACCATGCATTGCTTGGAAATAAGAGATGAAGTCGATGTCCTGAATTTAGCCTTTTAGCCTCTTTGCTGGCTTCGGCCACTACTTAACTGACAGGCCCATTTATCTGAATAATGTGCGATCCACAACAGTTTGGTGTAGTCCTTAGATTTTAACAAGTTGGGACGGCTACGTAACTTATCTTGGGAAAGCTTCCTAAGAGTTATGGAGACATCCTATACAAGATCCAGTAAAGATTTTACACCACACTTTGTGCAAAGCAATAGCTAGCTTACTAATGTTTCAAAAACACCTTTGAAAAATTAGGAAATCATTCTTTGTATTTTGGAGCCTGAAAAGCAGATGCTTTCTAAAGTCTGAGACTGTACAGATTCAGAGTAAGCCATAGAAGTAGCTTTTAATTATTTCAAAATATTTTAAAATAGCAGTGGTTTCTAAAATTAGCATGATTTATGGCCAGTATTTTCCAGGACTCCATTGAGTTTTGTTAGGTACTTCTTCCCCATCTCACATCAAGCCTTCTAATTTCTGACCATGCAGACCACCCAGGCCACAATACAGCTGTGCTGTTATTATATGTACAAAAGTATGCTCATATATTATTAGGTGAAATCTCATCCATCCTAAGATTAAATAAAATAGAAATTCTACTTTGGTAAGAGAAAAAGAAACCAACTAGAAAAGGCTCTTTAAAAATGAATGGTAGATCTCTGAAATGGCTCTGCAGTTCAAACTATTAGAATATTTCCCAGAGAGATGGATGAACAGGCAGAGAGAAGATGAGAAAGTCAATATCAACCATTATTCACACAGCTGTGCCCTATGGTCTGTGGTTTTCCTATTCCGGTATTTATCACAATACATCTAGCTGTGAGGATTGAAGTGCATTCACAACGGCCACACAGACACGCTGACAGGTGCACACCTTGCCCATGCCACGTCTGCACGCGTGCCACGCAAGCATATTGCATGGTGGTAATTATGGCAGAAACTGCAGAGCTGCAAACACGGCCTCTTTTTTGTCGTCCATATCTGGGCACTTCACCTGCTTGTAAGCTGCTGATCCATCTGTCTCTTACTGGACTTGCTCTAACGTAACAAGCCTCCAGCCTGCCTACCGTCTTCAATCAGCTGTCTGCCTCCAACGAACAAACAGACAGTGAGTTATTTCTTTCTTATTCTTTCATAACATGCCAGAGATGTTTTGGTTTACACCCCTGGTGCTTCAAAATCGTGACACACACATCCACGGAAAAGCTGTTTTCTTGTAGGCAAATCTTGAAGGTTTCTTGGCTTTGTGGTTATAGTTATTCCCTGCACTAAATTTTGCAAAATGGACTTAAAAGTTACCACAGGAGCTTGCTTTAACAGGAGAAAGGCTATAAACAGCATCAATACAATCTTTCAAGCTTGAACACTTCATGAAATATGCTTGTGGCATATAAACAGTATATGGTGATACAATGTGAAATTTATATTGGCTCTTGCGTAGGATAGCTGATATCATTCCCTCCTGACTTAGGAAGTATAAATAATGTGGTTTCCCCAAGCTTGTGCCGATGAGCTTTACCATGCCGCACTGCATCCTCCCTGGGATACATATACAATAGTGGAGCTGGTTTCAATGGACCATCAGCAGGACCAGTGCCTTTGGTCCCTTGAGGAAACAAATACTTCCCTGGCAAATACTTCTGTGGCCCCTCTGGGCATCATGGCACTGGACTCCCTGTCTCTCCAGCAAAGCTGCCACTGAAGCCAGGCTAGTGGCAGGGG